AAGCATAAAATCCATCTTTACCTCCGTCTGCTCCGTCATCACAGAGTCTTCTTACTCCAGCACTTTACTTTCAGCCCCTCATGGCTTGGAAAAGAAGCTCGATGTTGAAATGATTAAAGTTTTCATGAGGCTTCAGGTCAGCTTGCAGTCCTCTCATGCTCACATGGTTCCTGCATGTTGTTCCTGATATATAATGTGAGAAAATGGGGGACAGTAGTGGAGATCTTTAAGGTGTAGCAGGGATGTTATCTGAGCTGTCTGGGAAATAACCTGAAGGATACAAGAGAAATTATAAAAAGTTGAAATTATTGTTGTGTTCTGGAACAATAAGAAGAATCTGATGCCTTCTGAGGAGGTTTTGGAGAGCATCCATGGCTGATTTTATCCATTTGACATCCTGCAAACCTCAATGGTTCCACATTCCTTAAAATCCTGCTGACAAACAGCTTAGAGAGTTTGTGTCCTCAACGATGCCTTGCTGCACCAGGAATAACACGGAAAAGGTGTTAATTAGTGAATTTGGTGCTGTTGTGCTCTTTTTCCAATCAAGTTTCCTACAAAAAAAAAAGAAAACAAATTCAGCAACTTAAAAAGTTACAAAAATCTACAGTCTTTTTTTTTTTTGAGAGATTTTCTGTCTGAATTCAGAGCCTGATTATTTATTTCTGAAGTTTTTAGATCTCTGTCATCTAAGGTCGGTGGACTCCATGACTTTCTACCTGATTTTAGATCCTGAATCCCAGACGGGAAAATCTGCCTCACATCATGTCATCTCAAGGCCGAGAACATTTCAAACGGATCATCCGGTCCAATTGGTTCAACGTTTTCTGTCTAAGGATAAAAACTTCTGTAGATATGAGCTTCCACTAAAACATGGAATCAGGTTTAGGGAAAATTTTAATTTCCTTTCTGGATTAAATTTGAATTGTTACATTTTTAAACCTGCTCTTTGCTTGAAACGATACCTAAACAAGATTCACTCTCCTCCTCATATATATTAAATGTTCCAGTGTTTGTTGGGATTTTAAGGATTTCCTCTTTCTCTGAAACAATTTTAAATTATTAGATGTTTTTATTTCCAAATAGAAATGAGCTAATCAAATGAAAAAGTCCTGCAGAAAAATAAAAACACCCTGAAATCCAGAGGCCTCAAGTAACAAAGTACAAATACTTCCTTCCTTCAGTAGAAATGTTGTCTATCTATACTTTAGTGCAGTAATTATTTTTTAGACAATTTTAATTAACAATTCATTGGTTGACTATCATTTATTGATTGACAGTTGAAGTTTTTTTAAGCATTATTATTATGCAGGTTTATTGCACAGGGTGTTAACGTGGGTATTTATATAGATGTATATGTATACATATTTATGGTTATTGCACAGGGTATTAAATAGTGATTGCACATTATACATTGCTCAAGTTATTGCTGTTGTAGTGTCACATTGTAGAGTCTGGTAGCAGTAGGGAAGAATGACCTGCAGTAGTGCTCTTTTTTACAAACAGGGTGTAGAAGTCTTTCACTAAAGGAGCTGCTCAGCTCCTCTACAGTCTGGTTCAGAGGGTGGAAGGTGTTCTCCAAGATGCATGTAAGCTTGGACAGCATCCTCCTCTCAGCCACTTCATCCACTAAGTCCAGAGTGCAGCCTAGGACAGAAACGGCCTTTCTCACCAGTTGATTCATTTTCTGTCCTGTCTTGCGCTGCCAGGGGCCGAGCAGACCTGTAGAGGAGGGCGGACGCTGCCACAGAGTCATAGAAGGTTTTTAAGCAGGGGCCTGCTCACTCCAAAGGACCTCAGCATCCTCAGGTGGTTGAGGCGGCTCTGGCCCTTCTTATAGGGAGTTGGTGTTATGAGTCCAATCCAGTTTATTATTGACTTGAACACCCAAGGATTTTAAACTCTCCACAGTTTCTATGTCCTGCCCTCGAATGTTCACGGAGGAGTTATGTGGGGGTTTTCTCCTGAAGTCGATCACCATCTCTTTGATCTTACTGGTGTTAAGACACAGGTGGTTCTTCTCACACTAGTCCACAAAGTTCATGATGACCGATTGATACTCCAGCTCTGTCCCCTCAGAAACACAGCCTACGATGGCAGAGTCATCAAAGACTTTCTGGAGATGGCAGCTGTCATGTAGGTGAAGTCCGAGGTGTAAAGGATGAAGAGGAATGGAGGGGCACTGTTCCTCTTTACCCTTTCTCCTCACCGTTCTGCAGACTTGCCAACTCTGACTGAAAGGCATGCAGCCGCACGTACTGAGGGCGTTTATGGAGTTAGTTGATGGTCCAGGCAGCAAGATGTCTGTCCACTCAGGCTTCCTCTAGCTTCCCCCTCAGCAACTCTGATCTGATGGTGTTGAAAGGGCTGGAAATCAAAGAACATGACTCTCACTGCACTCCCACACTGCAAAAACGATGTAGAAGCAAGTAAACATTTCTTAAATTAAGTGTATGTATCCTTATTTTAAGTAGGTAAATGAGATAGTTTGCCAATGAAATTAGTATTTTTACTCTTAAAATAAGATAATTAGATAAAATTCACTTGAAATAAGACAATGCAATTGTGTTTTTCTTATTTTAAATGTAAATTGTCTTGTTCCATTGGCAAAATGTCTCTTTTACCTCCTCAATTCAAGAACAAATGCACTTATTTTAAGAAAAAAATAGTTATCTAGATTTCGATTTTTTTTCCAGTGCAGTGGTCTCCAGCTGGGTGAGTGCCTACTGCAGCAGATAGATGATGGCATCCTGCAACTGCAGTGCACCTTGCACCATGGTGCAAAGGTGAGCTAGGATGAGGCGCTCCATGGTCTTTATCAGGGGGGAGGTCAGGGTTACTGGTCTAAACTGGGCCGGTACCTTGGCGTGCAGCGTTTTGGGAGCTGGTATCACACAGGAGCTCTTCCATAGAGTGGAACCCCCAGGCTGAGGCTCAGGTTGTAACTATTTACTTCTCCTGCTTACATTTTAAAAATAGATTTGTTAGTTTTGTTTCATTTAAGCTCATTTTTATCATGGCCTCTTGGTATTTAAAAAAATATAAACACTGAAAATAATAAGTTTCATCCAGACAATACGTAATTTCTTTGTGGTTGGACTCGGTGCTGCCCCAACTTGTTGTTCGCCACGTACCAAAATAAATAGTTTTTCAACATGATGCAAAATTAAATTTGACACTGTTACCATTAGTTTTGTAGAATTGTAGAAACATGTTCCTTTAATAGGGTAGTGCAGTTAAGCTTTTGTCCTTAACATTTTTTCCTGCATTACTTTTACTTTTATACTTTAAGTAGTTTTTAAAAATGTTGCATTTTACACTTTTACTTGAGTAAAAGCTTAAAGTGATCCTCTATCTTCTACAGAAGTGTTTTTAAACAGTAGGATTTATTCATATACTGGAGTAATAAACATTTATACTTCCCGTCTTCCTCGAAGTTCCTTCCATGAAGCTGTTTTCTCCATCTGGGAAGTAAACGAGGCATAAAACGCTAGAGGTCAGGATATTTAACCTGAGTTCTCCCATGCTCAGTTCTTCCTCCTCCTCCTACAGGTGACATCCTCTTCCTCATTGTGAGATATCAGCAGAAGGAGACGCAGCATAAAGCTGCTCCATTCCTCAGCAGTGGAGATGTTTGTTCTGAGGCGTCTGATTGTGTCTGATTACTCTCAGCCGTGAAGTTGTGTCATAATGAAATATGAAACCATCTCAGGGTGAAAAATGAACGTCAGACTTTCCTTATCTGTCTGCTGTACAATGCAGATATCCCTTCTTATCAGGGCACTGGGGAGATTTTAGTGCAGGTGGGTGAATAAATAAATACTAAAACCATCCAGAATCTAAAGTCTTGATGGATGAATCGCTGCCTCTCTAATGTTTTATGGAAACCTGGAGCCAGTGAGAGAAATCACACAGTTAGCAGCGTCAGGAGGTCAGAGGCTTTGTTTTTATTTGTCCTCCTCAGAAGGTTACTGATTCAAACACCTGTCGCATCTTTTAAGCATAGATATTATTCTAACACTGAATAAAGCCGCTTTGATCAAACATAAGACATAAAAATAAGATAAGGTTTCAGGGGAAAAAATTGTATTAAGAGGTCAAATTAATAAAAAAATTCTTCTGAAGTTTTCTGCTTCCTCGGAACCTTCATGACCTTCACACACCCTGTAGGCCTGCCTCTGCAGAGGCCAGTCTTCCTAGTAGGGTCTGTCATGATTGTTTTAAGGGATCTGACCCACATGCAAAGAACCACTCAGAGAACACAAGTCAAACAGGTTTATTGAGGTAATTGTACATTATTTGGTTCTGGAACCCTGTCAACTGGTGAACCGGAACTGGAAAGTCTGGAGGGGAGATCACAGTGATCAGTTCAGGGACCGCTGGAAAATTCACTGAGGTTTGAGTTCTGTGGAAGCGGGACTCATGTTTGAGGGGGTTCTTGTTAATCCTTGTGCCCAGTCAATGTGGGTTTATCCAGAGAAGAGGGAACTTGTTGGAGAGCGGATAGGTAGACATTCGTTGGACCCTGAGGAGCAATGGAGCGGACTGTCACTTGGATTTCTGAAAGGGACTTGAACGGCACATGTGGATGTTTTCCCCTACTCAGTGTGAACTCAGTTAATCCTTCCAGGGGGAGAAGGCCAGGCGTCCAGTTACACAGGAAGGTTTCCTGCCGAAAGGCAAAAACAATGTTAGACTCAGAGAAGCAAAGGCTCAGGTTAGACTCAGCTAAACTCAGCTTGGGTAGATTACCCAAAACTGGCAAGCACTCTGGCGTCGAGGTAGTGACAGTCCACTGCTCAAATACTCCTCAGTAATGATCCAACGAGCCGCAGGTGTGCAGGAGAGCCAACGAGGACAGGGCACCACCTGGTGGTGGAGGGAGAAAAAACACACAAACAACCCGCACACACTGGATTCCTAATAGTGTCCCTCTGCCTGAACTTCATTCATGTTTTCTTATGAATTCAACTGATCTGTTTCCTCCTGTTTCTCTGCAGCGTTGTGCACAGAGGAGTGTGTCCACGGTCGCTGCGTCTCTCCTGATACCTGCCAGTGTGAGCCCGGTTGGGGGGGGCTGGACTGCTCCAGCGGTGAGTACAGAAAACCTGGGAAGACTCCCAAAGCTGGAGGCATCAGAGTTCATTATGAGGAGAGCATGGCCTGCACATGTGGGGTCTCTTGGGGGTCAATGCCCATCACATTTCCTTTTATTTATGTATAGAATATTTTACACACCCAGAGGGACATAAGTGCTGCATGGGTCCATAAAATAGAGGAAACCAAGACATATATGAGGCAATAAAATACAGAAAATACAGTAAAATAAATAGACCAATAGCAGCAAAGATGATGGAACAGGAAGAAGTGTTTAGGAATAAGAGGAAGGAATAGACGACGAGCCGAGCAGAAATAACGTTCAGCTTCTAGAAGGTAACAGTTCTGCTCGACAACGCTATTCATGCAGTCAGACCATGCTATATAAATACTAATGTTTGTGTATTATCTGTGTTTAATTATGTTTTTGGGATTTTAGGGATTTGAGAGAAATAGAACTATTATCGTAATATTTAAATCATTAAGCAAAAGTTAGGAACAATAGTTAGTTTCAACAACTGCAATGTTAAAAAAAAAGTTAAATTGTGGAAAAAGATTTCCAAATTGATAAATTCCAATCTTTGCCCTAAATAAATAATTGCTGCCTGAATAAAGGTTAAAACATCCACTCATCTTCTAGACCTGCTGTCTGAGGAGGGATCGGTACACTTTGGGTGAGAGGCTGGACACACCCTGGATAGCTGTATACATATATAGCTGTATACATATGTATATATATATATATAAAATGTGTGTGTTTATAGTGTACAGTGTATAGTGTGTGTATATGTCTGTGTTTAGAACGATGATAGTCTCTGTTTATTATTCTCAGGTTGTGAGCTTTGAATAAACTATAATGGTTGATTTGTGTCATAAAGTGAATTAGATCTTCTGAACCATTGATCAGTCATGACAGCAGGTAGGAAAGATAAAGAAAGCAGCTGCATAAACAGCCTCACGGTTTTTATCACATTAAATGGTGCAACCTGCACCTTCTGCTGGAAAGATTAATGTTAAAAAACTGGTAAATCATTAGAGGGCCAGACAGTGATTCTATCCATAGCCTCAAGATCTCTGATGATGAGTAAGACAAATGGACGTAGTGTTTCCTCGCCCGGATGTTGGTCACCGGTTCCCCACTCTGGAGCCAGGCCTGGGACCCTGGCGAGGGCCTGGTGGCCGGGCTTTTACCCATGGAACCCGGCCGGGCCCGAAGAGAAAACATGGGTCCCCCTTCCAATGGGCTTACCACCTGTAGGAGGGGCCAAAGGGGTCGGGTGCAAAGTGTGATGAATGGCAGTTGAGGGCGGGGACCTTGGCGTTCTGATCCTCGGATGAAGACGCTGGCTCTTGGGAGGTGGAATGTTTCCTCTCCGGGGGGGAAGGTACCTGAGTTAGTGTAAGAAGTTATTTAAAAAAGGGGACGTGAGGGTGTGTTCCAACTACAGAGGAATCACACTCTTAAGCCTCCCTTGTAAGCTGTATTCTGGGGTTCTGGAAAGGAGGGTCCGTTGGATAGTCGAATCTCAGATTCAAGAGTCTTGTCATGCACATCCTTGTGACGGTTGGCATATAGTGTAATTTTCTATTTATTCAAACTGTAAAATCCTTGCAACAAACTAAATTATAATAAAACTAAAATGCTTTCCTTAAATCAGTCTAAGATTTTCATCTATTTGGCAAATTTATGTTCAAATATTTTGCAAAAATATGTTGCGGTGCATGATGGGGTTTTGGATCTATAGCCTAATGTTTCCTGTCTTACGTGCATTGTTGCCAGGTTGGGATATTTCCTAATCTGGCAGTTTAGGATGGCCGTCTATGGATTAAAAAAATTTTTTTACATTTTTTTTTTTTTTCATTTTTAGATTCATGGCCTAAAATATCAACTGATTTTGGTTCAAATTGGGCAAGATTTTGTATATCCAGGTGGTTTATGAAAATTATTTTTGGGGGGCAGTGTAGATGGAAAAATGCCATGGCATTTCATATCTATTTGTGCAGTTTAAAGTAACCATAGTATTTTAGAGTATTAGTTTAATCTTGTATTTTTTTTTATAATGGAGAAGTGTTCAGTAAAATTTACATAGTATATTAATATAGTTATTTCCTTGTGGTTTGCATGTAAGGATGTTTGGACCTTAAAGAATCACGTGTGACATAAACACAGTGACTCACGTTGATGCCAGCTGACAGATGTTGTTGTTAAGTTTAATTAATAGCGCATATATTCATCTGAGAACTGATGATGTCTGTGTGTTACAGACCCTGGTTGCGTGCACTGAAGTGTATATGAAAATAAAATAGCGAATCTCAATCTATTTAATGATTTTTTTAAATGGCATTTTAAATAGGCCTATAGGCTCATTGGTCTTTTGTCCAAAAAAAATAAAAAATTCACAGCACTCCCTGTTCAAGGCTTCCAGCTGCCCTGTATACATCAGGTGGAGGTATTTCGCTTAATTCTGTGACATTTCTGCTAAAATATTAATAAAAAAAACGTTTCGAAGTTTTTGTCAAGTGTATTTTTCCCATACATTCACTACACCTAAATAATGAAATAAATTCTAGCTAATTAAAACAGACTAGTTTTAAGCCTTTAAATGAACTGGTATCAAGTAAATTTGCCTTGTTTTTAAGCCTGTTGTATGCTTGTTTTGAGCAATAATTGGTTAGAGGTTATTTAATTCTAAGCAATAATGACTAATAAATGAGAATACATTGCTTAAAATCTTAACGAGTAAAAGAAAATATAGATTTTTATACTTGATTTAAGTTTTTTTGGATGCTTACTACTTCAATATTATGTTCCTGTTTTAAGAAATCTTACCAAGTCTCATCTGCTTGCTGCACTGGCAGATTATTTTGCTAAAAATAAGCAATAATTCACCTAAAACACTATATTTTTTTCTTATTTTTTAGAAGGCATTTTTTGTTGTGAGCTCTTTAGTAAAAGCCATATTGCTCCAGTTGTGAAAGTAACTTCAAGAAAAAAGATTTTAAGAGGATAATTTTCTGTGCTCTCTGCCAGACAGGACAGGAAAAAAACTGGAGAAAACAAACACTCAGATCAGGATCTCTGTCTCCATTTCATGTTCAAAAATACTTTCAGTTGCCATAAGTCGAAAGGTGAGGGATTTGGAAAAGTTCTAGTGGTTTTCTGGTCCTTAGTTCTTACATTTTCATCATGATGGCATGTTGGTTTATGGAAGGTCAATGTTTTGCATGGGCTTCAGCTGCTGCCAACTTAGATAATCTTTATGATTTGTTGCTAGTTGTTTTTTTTAAAGAAGACTAATGAACTTTTTCAGTTATTTCAGGCTTTGGTAAAAAAAAAAAACATGTGCAACCTCTCATCCCTTTGCAGTAATGGTCTTCTAAGCCCCTCCTACTTTCAAAGCACTCAGATATCAGGTGTTGAATTTTAGTTTAATTTCATATCATTATAAAACTGATTTATGTAGTTCGGGTTGACTCAAACTACTACGAATATTAGAAATAAGTGAATTATTTCAACAGGTTTATTTTATTATTTAGCATATTTAGAATTTTTCATCACTTACTTTCATCTCGGCGTTATTCCTCCCCTAACAGCCTGTTTCAAAGTATGACTAAATATGCAAATTATGTGATGACACCATCTAGTGGCTTTTGCTGCTTTAATGACAGCCAATAGCCAATAGGCTGAGTTCAACATTAAGTTTGTCCTAATATTTATCTCTGTCTTTAACCCTTTAAAGCCCGATCCAAGAATAAAACAAAACAGAAAGTTACTTTTTCTTGGTTTGAATTCCTTATTTGGCCTTTTAACAAAATATGTAAAAAGAAAAACAGAAATACGTTTTTGATATCAACAATTTATTACTATGCGATAAGTCAAGATTATTTTTTGTGTAGTCTTCTACTGGCTGTTATCAGGTATATCTGATTGTGTACAATAGGATTATGAGCAAAGTTTTTACCATTAAATTATGCAAAAGGTTTCAGACGCAAAACATTTCAGAAACTGTATGTATCAAATATGATACATTTGGCATTACAGGGTTAAGATAATCACATCCTTCTTATATGTTTCCTTAAAAGGAAGGCTTTAGTGCTTCTAACACGAATCAATAAAACATTGTTGCACAAATACCGTTAGGGTTGAACTAGGGATGCACGATATAATCGGCCCCCTATCGGTATCAGCCTGTATCGGCCTTAAAACTGAATATCGGACATCGGCCACCCCACCGATATTTAACCCGATATTTGATCAGCTTCTGAGTTTCTAAAGTCTAAAAAAAAAAAAAAAATACTACTTCTTCTTCTTCCTCAAAAACTTCTTTTTTATAGACTTAAAAGCTTCTAAAGACGAGGGAAAAAATATTGATACATTAAAATATCACAATATCTTCATATGCTGATATATTGCCATTTAAAAACACCATATCAATCTCTTTTACTAATGAAATATTGCTATATGTCATCGTTATGCTACGAAATCACCCGAAAATTCACGAAATTTTGCCATATTTTTATATGTTGATATATTGACTTGGTATCGATCTATTTTACTAACAAAATCTCATAAGAATTTGCAAAATATTACGAGAGTTTGAAAGTAAAATAGATCAATACCACGATACAGCTTTAACATCAGTATCGATATCGGTTATCGGCTACATGAGTTTTAAAATATCGGATATCGGCCAAAATCCCAATATTGTGCATCCCTAGGTTGAACAGGAATCTAAACACCTGCAAGGACATTAAAATGTCCCTCAGACATGGCTGACTCCATGAAATAAACTATGATGAAGGCATCTGCCCTCTTGTTCAAACTGGTCATGATCACAGTGAGATTTCACAATAACTAGAAATAGCAAGAGTCAAGAATACTTGATGTCTTTGTTGGAGGCAAAGATTGAAAGTTGGAGGAGACGCTCTGCTCAGAATGCACAGATGGAATGAGTCCAATTCACTGTAAAGTGAAAAATAAGCCGACATGAATGAA